GGGAAAGAGGCAGGAAAGAGGGCAAAATGGGTAAAGGAGATCAAATGTATGGTGACCGATGGAAAATAAATTTTTGGTGGTGAGCATGCTGTAGGGTACACAGAAGTATAAATACAGTGTTGTACACATGAAAATTACATAATGTTATAAATAAATATTACCTCAGTAAAAAATTAACTATTTCAGTATATAAATAATAATTGAAAATCGAAAGAAAAAACACCATTTATAATAGCATCAAAGAAAAAGCAAAAAATAATTCACAAATGATGTGTAAGACCTATAAGCTGGAAACTACACAATATTATTGAAAGAAATTAAAGAACTAAATAAGTGGAGAGATACACCACGTTCACGAATCACAAAACTCGGTAGACGTCAATTCCTCCCCACGTTGATCCATGGATGCAATGCAATGAAAATCAAAATTCTAGGAAGCTTTGTGGTAAAACTGGTAAGTTGAGTCTAAAGTTTATATGGAAATGCAAAGATCCTCGAAAAGCTAAAGCAATTTTAAAAACAATTTCAGAGTGCTTACTCCTTCTTTCTTTGTTCTTTTGATTAGTTTTCATTCAGTCTCTGTTGTCAATAATCCTGCTTTACATTTATTTTCCCTTGGAACAAAAAACTCAGAAACTTACTGGAATTAGATCTAAATTACAAATAAGGAAAATGAATTCTTTTACTCAGTAAACCCAAACTGAGGTGGAAGTTGAAATAAGAATTTCACCAGATAACAAATAACATTTCTTAGTGAGTGACAGGCATTTATATCAACATAGCTATAGTGGAACACAATGGGGTTACTGGTCTTACCAATCTAATGAAATGTTAAGGTTCAGATAAGTTACCTTGTCTATTCAGAAGTGGAGAATTAAAAGCAACAGCAACTTAATTTTGCGATTAAAATATTTTCTTTGATATGGCTGCACATCACAGTTTGCTATCACTAAGAAATTCTATATGCATGCATGCATACTCTCACTTTCTTAAAGATAAAAAAATCCTTGAGATTACCTTGTGAGAAGACCAGAGAATTTTTTTTTAGGATGACACTTACTTCAAATGAGATACTTTAATCATTTCGATGGGCGATTCATCATTACCTCGTTCACCACGAAAAGCAATGCTCCTACCTTTAAATGCAAATATTAAAAGGTAAAAAAGCACATAAAACATGTAAGAAACTAAAAGCTGTACCAATGTAATTTGATCAGTGCTACCCTCTATTCCTGTTCCCTCTCCCATTTGCTTCTAAGCTGTTTCTAATAATCTAAATTCAAAAGTATTCTCAAGTATTCAAAACTATTACAAGTTAAAGACCAACAGTATATTACTTACATTCAAATATCTACTTTATAAAAAGATATTTTCTTTTTTTATAGAATTTCTTGAAGTCCTTCTGTGGTTTCTTTCAAATAATTTAATCTTAGAAATTTAGAAATACCAATTTCTAAAGTTTTAATGCATCTATGGTAAAGCAACTGCTTACTGTAAAAACTACTGGTACATTCAAGGTAATAGAAATATTTTCATGTTTACAAATACTAATTAGTGGAGAAAACACTCTTTGAACAGGTATTTAAGATTTCTTGTCCCATGTGCAAAATACTCAACTACAATATTTAGACATGTTCCTATCAAAAGGTCTCTATAAACTGAAACTGGGGAATATTAAGAATTAGTTAATAGCCAAAGAAGCTAAATGGTTTTCCATAACTTAAAAAATGCAAGTTCTACTTTATGTTTGAAAAAATATACATATTTTTTGGCTGCATTAGGTCCTTGTTGCTGCGCGTGGGCTTCCTCTAGTTGTGACGAGCGGGGGCTACTCTTCATTGTGGTGTGTGGGCTCTCATTGTGGTGGCTTCTCTTGTTGCAGAGCATGGGCTCTAGGCGCACAGGCTCAGTAGTTGTGGCACACAGGCCCTAGAGCGTGCAGGCTTCAGCAGTTGCGGCACGTGGTCTCAGTAATCGTGGCACGCAGGCTCAGTAGTTGTGGCACGCAGGCTCAGTAGTTGTGGCTCAAGAGCTTAGTTGCTCCACGGCATGTGAGATCTTCCCAGACCAGGGATCAAACCCGTTTCCCCTGCATTAGTAGGTGGATTCTTAACCACTGTGCCACCAGGGAAGTCCCTGAACAAATATATTTTAATATCTTTTCCTAGATTTCTCTTACATTAAACAAAAGAGAGAACATACTCAATTCAAAGACAAGTGGATGCCTATATGGCTCCCTGCTCTTCAATGCCATCAAACAGAATCTCACTATTATTATTCGCCAAACACCCTACATCCTTTCCTGGCTCTGCTAGTCGGCTGCCCTCCTTAGAAGACAAGGCTGTAAAAGTCTATAATCTATGAATTTAAATGTCCCACCTAAAAAGTCAGTAACTATTACTTAGAAATTTGTTCCTCAAAAATAAATCTGTGAAAGACAGATTTTAAGTTATCTAACAGTCCGAGACCTGAGCTGATCGGAAAAAACTGAACAGGCATTTTTTTAGTGAATGATACTACAGAACAGCATTTCATCCCTGGGCTACCATGTAACTACAGTGACCAGTGCCAGTTTATTGGCAACTCAGGAATGTAGGGATAGGAGTCACCAGGCAGGTCATTTCCATTTAGACTAGAGCAACACTGGACTAAAGTGGGGCTAATTCTTTGAGGTTTAGTAACATACTCTAATAAGTAGGAACAACTATAAATTAGAAATATATATTGAGAATACAAGGAAGCAACCATATATATGATTTATTATACACACAGGTAACTTATTGGTTAAAACTATCTACATATATTCATATTGCTAAGCCATTTAAAAAAAAACTCCCCACAATTTTGTAAAAAAAAAAAAAAAAACTATTTGAAATCATTCCATGTGCTATATACAAAATAATATAAAACCTTCACCTTACTCTATTTTCAAGTTCTTATTTTGAAACTCACTGGGCTATAGGTTTTTAACAATTTTAACAATATTCCAATTACTGGAATATTTCCTATTGTAAAGTCTTTAAACTCCGAAATTAAGTTTTCCTATTTAGCCAGCCAGAGATTATCAAAAGTTTTAAATTTAAGCATTTAAAAAGAATCCTTATTTATAAGATTTTTAAGGGTTTCACGCAAAGGCCAAAATTTTTAAAAGAGAATCTAATAAGGTGTAACTACAAAGATTGATTTTAAAACTGTACTTCTGGTTATCTACAACAATGTACTTGAAAGTACAACTGATACCATATTTATGAATCTGTCCATTCAGGCTAATGGTACTCCATTTACCATGCCCTTGTGTTAACATAATTTGCATACAATGATGAGTCTTTTCTAAGGCAATTATTATAGAACAACCAAAAAATGAATACATAAACATAGAATATATAAAAATGAATATATAAATGAGAAAAAATTCCAAGGTGAAAGAAAGTACTTTGGAACATGTTTTATAAATAGCAACATCTTTGATCAATATGATGGTACCATTTTAAATATCGTAATAGTCTAAATACACAAACCTGTTGGAAGATCAACCAGCTGAAGTTCGTTCCTCACTAATCCCATGTTGTTTGGTGTTGAGGTAGAAAAAGAAAGAAAACCAGTTAAACTCGTCCATTCAATACCCCTATAATGAGAAATTAAACAAAGATTAATCTAATATTCTTTTTTTGTCTGAAAAATTTATTTGAAAAATAAGTTTTTTCTATGACCTAAATTTTATTATACAAGTTAATTAAGGAATTATATTAATATGACATTTATTTGAGGCTATATTATCATACATGTTTCTAAGTGCCGTACATATTCAGAGAAGTGCTTTCCCCCCAGTTTACAGGATGTCCCAGTGTTCAGGATATAGCAGAACATGGGTGGCTGCTTATTTATAATCAAGCACCACAAGTGTGCTGCCTTTGAGCAGATTCCAGCAGCAGCCTGTACATCTGACTCCTACTGATCAACTAAAGAAAATAAAAATCGAGTTGGACTTCAAAGTGTATTAGATAAGGAGGGGATTATTTCTCAAAAGAAAAGAATGAAAACTCTTGTCAAACACAGCTGAGCACAACACTACTCCCAGGATTAGAAAACCATTGTCTAGGTTTAACCACACACTGAGCTCTATAAAAACTCTTAAGAACAGCAGCTCATTTTCTGACTCAGTCTAAGTTTGTTTTGTAGCATTCCTTGCTACTGAACAATTGTAACCTTAGAATCTACCAACAGAGATTCAGTGTTCTAACTCCTATAGATTCCCAAGTTGGGCCTGTTCACCTGCATTGGGGATGCTACCTTAGCTGCTTCTCAACACTGGGTGGCTGGGGGGAGCAAACGCTTTCTGAAAGGTCTTGAAGTCCTACTGTTATATGAAACTAACTTCTGCAAATGTACAGACAGACAAAATAGAGATCATTTTACTTTCCACAAATCACTCAATGTGCTCAAAGCAATACTGAGTCAATCAGTGTTTTGATACCCATATAAACTACTGTTTTAACAATTTCTGACATTGAAAATAGTATTGGACTATACTACTGTAATTTTAGCCTATTGGACAAAGACACCAGCTAATAATATAAGAACTCTAATAATCTAAGAAAACCTATATGTACCACTCTACATTATTTACTTCTAGGTATCTTCCACTGGATTATAAGCTTCCCAGGTTTTGTCTGTTTACAGGCATACAGAAGAGGCTCAATATATATTTCATATTTGTAAAGCATAACTGGTTAAAACATCATAGCTTTCAGAAAACGCATAGATGCAACTATCTGTAGTTAGGCAGTACCAGGCCATATGTATGCTAAAGACTGAAGTACTTAAGATGAAGTGGTTTTTAAAAACACTTTTAGTACTAAGTAGAAAAACAACTTTCTAAAGTTGGCCTTTAATTTGCATATGAGTATCTAGAACATATTGGGTTTACTGCTAATAAGTTCAGCAATTTTTATAGCACATCTGTGAAATTTTCATAATGGCTTTTAATTGTAATACTATAATTGCATTAATTGAAACACAAAGACAGCAGTATTTTAGCATCCTCTTGGGCACCATCTCTGGATGTAAAATGTGAATTATCTTCAAAATGGCAATTAAGAGGGAAAATTTATATTTAAGAAAAAAACGGAGCATACTTGCGTGATTGTTCACAACACTAGCCTGACTGAGTAGCATACCCCTTAGAGTTATTTGGTACCCCAAGTAACACATTATAAATAATTTTGGTGTCAATAACAAATATTATCATAACATGTGTAAGTCATGTATTTAGTGACATCTATGACCTGAACAATCCAGGACAACAATCTTACTTACAGCAAATAGCTCACTGATTAACTAGCTATCTTGTCTTTATTAAAGATTACCTACTGTGGTGATCATTTCACAACATATACAAGTATTGAATTATTACACTGTACATCTGAAACTAATATGTTATATCTCAACTGTACCTCAATATAAATAAATAAATAAACAAATAAATAAATAAATAAGATTTCAGTGTTCCTAAAAAAATGACAATGTGCTTGATTTTCCAGAAGCATGTACCAAATTCCTGGTATTAATCCCGGCTTAGTCAACATTTTTATCTTATTGCCAAAATGTTTCCAACTAATCTATGTGAATTTTTTAGCTGGAGATGTAGCACATGTATCCTAAGAGCTCAGTTCTGAAGCCTGAAACGCCTGGACTGAATTCCATGTACCTTTTCGTGACTCCACAATACTCAGTTCTTCTTCTGTAAATTGGGAATAATAATAGTGTTTCTACTGCATAGAGTTGTAGTGAGGATTCAATGAAACAATGCCTGAAAAGTATTAACACTTAACATAATCCTTAGGGCAAATACTGATTAAATGGTGAGTTTTGATTGATTGGTGTTTGCCATAAAAGGGAACACTGCACACAAAAGCCAGGGGTGAAAGGAAATGTCAAGAGAAGAAACGCAGACAGGAAAGAAAGGAAGAGAGAAGGTATCAGTGGCAGCAGGGCCTACTGGAAGGAGAGAGAAAAGATGAACAACAGCCTGGAAGGACCCAAGCAGTTACTGTGTCTCTGCACCCCAAAAGCCTAACACTTTTGAAGACATTACTCCTCCATGTAGATGTATTTAGGGAGATACTGTAGGGGCATAGCATAAGGTGGCGATAAACAGTCACTCAGGCTGTACCAAAAAATCATGCACTTGAAAGAATAAGGCAACATAAACTCTTCAGAAACTTCCATCACAATCAGAAGTTGTGATACTTCAAGGGTTGACCCTTCCCCATTTAGAAAACGCATTTATTCCGAATAATGTGAGCACTAAGGGTTCACTAAGAATTTTAACGTACACATGAGAACTACAACTATAATATAATGAGAAGTGAGAAATGGCCTTTCGGATACATCTGTTCCAACATCATCAAAAAATACTGGAAGATTAATAAATATATATTATATATGTGTAACTTTACAATCCGTCATTGCCAGGGCAAAGAAAGGAATATAGTCATGTGATCAGCAAGATAATGCTATGGAGCAGGTATATATGTACTTTATCTTTTTAAAAAAAATTTTTGTTGGAGTGGCATGTATGTACTTTAAAACAGAAAGCAAGAGTCATCCTTCTGTTCTGTTAGCCTTCCCTCAGATACCTCTGCATACAGAGAACTCATAAAACAGATCACATCTCAAAATGAAAGAATAAATGAGATTAACAATTAAAATGACCTTATTCAAAATTTTCACGAGCAGTCCTACTGAGGGATCTTTACAGAAAAGGAAAACAAACTATATAAACCGGAACAAGGGAACAGAGTGATATCCAGTGAGAAAATAGCCTTGGCCTTAGGAGAAATAAATAAGATGCAGAAATAAAGTGAGAAAAAAATTCTCCACTGCATAATGTTCTCTACAAAGTAAACAATTAGTAATCATCCTTAATGAACATAGCCATTAGTTGGACATGAATATGCATTACTCAAAGTTTTCAGTCAAATAATCACCACTGCAGAGTATCCAGTGTAGAAAAGTCCACAAGAACTTTTTTCTGGTATTACATATGTTTATAATCTCAATATCCCAATGACAGACTCACTTGACTTCACACGAGTGGATGCTTAACTCCTTGTGCAGCAGCCCACTGGTGAGATGGTACACCAGGACAGAACCGTTACTTGTACCTATTAAAATAACATAATAGAGGAGAATTAATCTAGTGGAAGTTCCAAATCTAACAAAAGTCTTTTCTCAAGATTTCAATTATTTTACAACATCTATATTTTATAAAAGGAACCCAAGCTAGGTGTGAAGAAAGAGTAAACTTCTCTGTCTTCCCTCTCATCAAAAATGGGCTTAGGGCTTCCCTGGTGGCGCAGTGGTTGACAGTCCGCCTGCCGATGCAGGGGACACGGGTTCGTGCCCCGGTCCGGGAAGATCCCACATGCCGCGGAGCGGCTGGGCCCGTGAGCCATGGCCGCTGAGCCTGCGCGTCCGGAGCCTGTGCTCCGCAACGGGAGAGGCCACAACAGTGAGAGGCCCACATCCCTCAAAAAAAAAGGGGGGGGGGCTTAATCTCACATGCTCTGTAATCTTACCTAAATCCAGGGACAGATTTTCAAAGACTTCACAACCTAATTCAATATACACAAAATCTGAAGGTGCACCTTCTTAAGCTTTTTGAATGTTTATTATAACTGATCCTCAAAAAGGCAACCTAGCAGAACTCATTAACCAGATTTCTCTAGTTTTCTTTACAAAGATTTTGGTTTTGTTCTGTCTTCAACATTAAATACATCATAAAGTAAAGCAAAGTACAGTGGCTCACTGTGGATTTTACAGCTAAAGAAGCCTGAGTTTAAGCCCTGGCTCTGCCCTACACTTTTGCAAATTACTTGCCCACACTAAATTTGTGTTAGTATCCCTTTAACATGGGAATAATGGAAAATCTATTTGTTGGAGATTAAATGAGAAACATACGTAAAACACTTAGTACAACACTCGGCACAAAGTAAGTACATGATTATTACTGTTTCTATTATCACTGTAATTATGATTTGTAGTTATTATGCCTTAAGCTTTTTGTGGTCTCAGGTAATATGTCTAAATTTTAATTAGAAGGGACATGGCCACTTGAGAAAGTAACACTTTCTTGAGAAAGTAATGTTTCAGCCCTTAACATGTTTTTATAAGTCAAGCAAGAAAAGTGAACAATGTAAGTGGTTGCACAATCACTTTCTCACTGCACATGACTTAAAAGAATTAATGGATTCATACAAAGCAATAGAATGTAGAAATAATAATAATATAATAATAATAAATGTAAAAATGCTAGGCAATTTCCAATTTTAGCTAACTTGCTGAATTAAAGCTTCAGAAATTTCTTGCACAACTATTCTAGAGAAATACAGTATTACACTTGCTTACTTTTATCACCTATTCTACAGTATCTTCTAGTACTGAGAAAATATCTAAAGAATTACTAAAACTTTTCAATTATCAGATGTTCATAATAATGATTTCTACATTCTGCACATTTTGATGATGTTGAAACTATGATTTAATACTTAAGGGGCCCAAGAAGAAGTAATTCTGGTTGAACTCTGCTCCTCTTTCCTAATGACTCTGCAAGACTTTAGGCACTTGTATTTTTTGCTTTTACTTTGTTATTATACTAAATTCAATAAATGACTTGCTATTCACTATAGACCAGCACAATACAGCTTACTCTACAATAGAATCTCAGAGCCTGACTCAGCTCTTGTTATCTAGCTATGCCAAGAAGTAATTTTCTCCAAGAAATTAATAAATTCCTAAATTGAAAGAGAAGGTATACTGACATTGTACAGAGATGTACATACTATGTACACTGACCAATCCCAATTGAAACCTCAATGAGAATTTTAATATGAATCAATAGTTTCTAAAATAAAAATTAAACATCTATCTGCATTTATATAAATCTGGACACCTGTAAACGCAGACCACTGAACCTTAAAATTCAAATCACTTTCAAAAGATAATAATGGAAAAAATGGGAAAGTAAGAGTAGTGCCAAACAGACTCAAACGAGCCATTAGGGCTCACAAGTCAGCCATTAAGTTGAGACACACTGGCCATAAGGTCGGGTTTTCATTTTAGGAAAAAAAAGAATCAAAATCACGTGTTTATAGACCTTCCGGGAAAAAGCCAGAAGTCAAACCAATAGCACCTTAAGAAAAATGCTGACAATTTCAAACAAATATATTATTGTTCAAAATTTTAGAGAAATGAATTTTAACCTTATGTATTTAGTAGCAAATAGAAATTTGGTCCTCTCTGTAAAAAAAAATCAGGTTAATCCCATTACCATGAAATTACTGTGACAGCAAGTTGAAACCCAGACCAATTTTTTTTATCTACAACATAAAAATATGCAATTTCAACCCAAAAGGCAAATCTTTAGTTTATAAAGACAAGAGCCACTTTAAATACAATAAAACCAGGTTTAACATACAATTCTTAGCACATGAAGAACCTTGCTATTATTAAACTATTAAGTGTGACTATATTATTAGTTAACAAAAACTAATAACAAAATGACATGCACAGGAAGAGCTTGAGATGCTCCAAGAAAAGACAAGGAGTCTGGTTTCAGCATTACACAGGGACTTTCCTCCTGACATTTTAGAGATGTACCCATGGTGTCAGGGTCTCTGTCATCTGGTGTCAGGTGAATGAGTTATCATTGTGATTAAAAAAGATTAATAGAACAGAAAAAAAAGTATTTCAAGATGAGTATTTATACAATTTCATTTAGCCTCTTCCTCCTCTTAAAGCATTTTAAAGGAGAATAGAGGATTTTCTAGTAACCAGGAAACTTAAATATCTTAAAAATGTAAAATAGACATTAAGAATTAAAAAAAGAACAGGTCCAATACTCACCAACAGCAAGCAATGGCTGATACATCTTGATATTTTTTGTGGTCAATGGTGGGCACATACGGATAGCAAACTGTGGTGAGGGCAGTCCTGAAAGCAGACCTGTTAGCAGGAATTTGAGTTGCACTTCCTGCAGAATGGAGCCTTTGGGATGTTCTTCCCCAGCAATTGCACTTTGCCCTGATTTGTAATAAAAAATACAAATATGTTAACTGTAACATACGCTGTTCTTAAAAATCTAAAGGAACTTCACAGTGCAAGTATACTCTTCAGGTCTAGAAGGTGTAATGTAGCACTCTAGTGCCTGTAGCTATACACCGAGTCTTACTTGGCTATGGGACTTAAACTGCATCATCTAATATCTCAAAGGACAGGTTCCTCCAGAGTATTGCTATCCAGAATTCAGGGACCTTTGTCTTCTAAGAAACACCATTTTAGCCAAAGTTCCTGGTATTAGGGCACCCAAGGCAAATCAAGAGGACTAGGGTTAGAGAACAGTTTCTGTAGCATGAGATATTACAGAGCATTCCTGTCTTACTGCCTTTCTAAAGGGTTACTTTTCAATCTGATGCTCTTTAAAGTGCACATAAAATTGGTAATCACAAATAGCAGGTTCAAAGAACTCATTTAGATTTCTAATAAGAAATCTTAATGTGTCAATGTAATTACAACATCTAAGCTTTATAATTACATATTTTATATAAATAAGTAAAATAAAATTTAAATACATACTTATAATTACTAATATATAAACCGTCACTAGTGACAGTTGTCTTAAGTGGCATTATTTTTAGATACAGCGTTCGCACTTAGGTTATCAAATTTCAAACTAAAAAGATGATTCAAATAAAAACCATTCACAAAATGTGAATACAAAGTGTGTAACAAAATCAAAACCATTCACCAATAAGGGTATAAAAATTTTCTTCCTTTAAAGCACTACTGAATACTGGGATAAAGGTGTCAAAAGTACATATCAGGAATATGTGAGTATATATATATGTACGTACACACACACACACACACACACACACACACACACACTGTGAAAGGGAAGAATAAAATAATTACTAGAAGTGGGTGACGGGGTTCTAACTAAACCTTTTAAAGCTGTAAAGTTGTTTTAGTAATGATGTTATTGTAAAATCGATAAGATATACAGAAAAAAAAGGCCATCAGTTGAATCCAAATAAATGATCCCTTAGGATAAGCCATACACCTGGTATCAATCTTAGTAACAAAGATGGGGTCTAAAGGAATGGCAAGTTCTACAGGTAGGTACCATGTTTACCCACCCTTGGCAGCTTGGAGTTCACTTCAGGAAAACTGCCATATTTCTCTTCAAGCATCTTCCATGTGAGGTGATTCACAAAGTAGGGCGGATGATTCACAAAGTAGGGCAGATTAGGCCTTACTAAGCAGCAGCCTTTACCCAATGAATATAAATCAGGCCTCTGTATTTAACTGAATTGCTTTCAATTACCACTAAGTACATAGTGAATTTCAAATTAAAAGTTTAATTAAAAGTTTTAATTAAAATGTTTTCAAGTAACAAAGATTTATTTAATACTTTCAAATCAACAACACTGTCAAGAACTGCTATACAGTCTGTATCATTTTGTCTCCTAAAAAATGTAAGTTATATCACTTAGATACCTAAACAGCATAAAATTACAAACTCCTACAGGCTTTGTATTACTGATTACTTCTGTGCATGTGTGTTTATAATTCTTTTCACTTTAATATTTTATATTAAGTGCAGACTAGGTCAATTAACTTGGAAAACTGTGTAACTAATAAAATAAATTTTGCAAAACAATTATCTGTCTAAACTTCCTCATATGGATTTATGTCTAGAAGGTGAAAAGAATTTTAAGTATAAAAGTTAGCGTCACTGAGCACAAGGATTCCACAGCTGGCAGGAATTGTGAGAATACCAGGGTCTGGAGAGGTCTTGCTTAGATTACGGTGAAGCAGCCGGGACTAGATGCCACGGCCAAGGAGCAGACTCCAGACTGGGATGACTAGGTTCACACTTCCACTTATTGGCTGTGTAGTCTGGGGCAAGTTTTTTAATCCCCCTGGGTCTCAGTTCCCACATACATAAAATGGAAATAATAATAATAATAATACCTACTTTGTAGGGTTGTTGAGCTAATACTTAAGAGAATTTGGCACAGTATTTAACATAGTATTAAGCACTCAATAAATGTCATCTCTGATTAAGAAGATTAATAAGTTAATGCTCTTTCTAGTATATCATGGACCTTTACAGCATTTAAACAAAAGAACCTAGTAAATAATATCCATTTTCAATTACACTGTGGGAGAACAAATAGTGATAAAGAAAATCCTTTATAAACCACTAGCCACAATTTTCAAAGAATTAGACGTCAGCACTGCTTGGCATATTTACAATTTCTAGTTGTATATATTTGAAACCACCAATCCTCATTCTTCCTTGAATATATAGTGGTTCTATAATAAATAACTTTGAAGAAATATATTACCTGCAAATAAATATTTGTTGAAGTAAGAATTCCCAACGTGAAAATAAGAAAATGTAAGTCAAAAAGTAAAGATGATTTTTTCTAATACTGCCCAGTTACTTTATTCCTTCAGTAAATACTTATCACACATCTAGAATGTGCAAGGCCCTGGGCCGAGCACTGGGGATGCAAAGCTGAATCAAGCACTGTCCCACCCTTGTGAAGCTTATAATTTACTGTAGGGATGTGGGGAGACAGACAAGTAAAATCACAACTACAATCAGCTGATGACTATTAGGGACCACATAAATCAGGCTTGGGAGATTAAAGAAAGCAACACCTGAGCTGAACTTTGAATAAGCAGTAGCAGAAAGGGGGAGAGAGGAAGAGTGTGTTCAATTCTGAGCTGAGGGAGCAGCGAGCATGGAGGAGGAGGTATGGTATTGCCCAGCAAGGGCCATATATGCAGCATCCAGATGCCTCATGCCATCTCTTTCATTTAGATCAGAGTCCCTCACGAATGAACATTTTCTAATTCCAGCGCTGCAGTAATAGTCTATACCACTTCAGGTACTGTTATGCTTAAATATTTTATACCCCTCTGATTTATTTAGGAAAGAGTAAGTCTACATTTTAGTTTTCTGAAGTATTAACTTTGACTTTACAATAACTGCAACCACTGACTATTGATTTTGCCCTTCAAAAAGTATACCTAACATAAAAGTGAGAGAAAAAAAAAGCAGTTTACCAATCATGTTATCTAAGGAGAGGTCTGGGAGTTTATTCTGTAGCACTCCTACAGGAATTCCACAGAAAGACACGGGTGAATATAAAGGTGACACGCCAGAACTACTGCAAAGACATAATAATTAGATGGTTCTTACATATTTAAAACATATTTAAAACCTGCCTCACATGTTAGTAACTCAAAATACTAATTTTAGATCATAGTATTCTATCAATTTTTACAGTATTCATTAATCTAACCCATAGGTGAAATATCTCTAGCAGGTTTACATAATCTCCTAATAATCTGAAGTCTTAATTATCAATTTAAAAATATTTTTTTCAGAAAAAAGGTCCTGCTATTTTTATATGATTCTGGTAATCTGAAGAAAGGGGGAAACAAAGCAAAACAAAAAAGAGAACCTATTGGTTCATTTACCTGTTCCGTGAATTTCGATTACAAATGGCAGACTTCAGTTCCCATATCATAACCCTGCCATCACTCACTATGAGGGCAGCTGCATTCTCATTGACAGGACAACACACCATACTGAAGGGACGGACAGTTTTTGTCACCCTGATTGCATCACACTGGCTTCGTAAATCATAGGTAAGCTCCTGGACAGGATCTGGATCTTAACAGAGTACAGTTTTCTTTTAAATATTAGAGAGCAACCATATCAATGTCACTGCTACTTGTTTTAATTTAAATAATACCTCAACCAAAAAGAATATCATCCCTTCACTAATGCAGAGTTTGTCAAAAATGGCTTCCCTGTTTACAATTACTAATTTCTTCAGGATACAAAGAAAATTTACTTAATGACCATCTACACCAAGTTTAATTTCCAAAATAACAATTATCAAAATAGTCTATTTAATATTTTTAAAATAAAGGAAATTCTTTGAAAAAGGATCAACAGTAATATATGATTAAATAATTAACAGTGCACTTGTAGCCCAACATAATTTACTGTGGCCTACAATAAGCCTGAAAATAATTATACTTTATAAAAGATGTGAAAGTCACTTTCACCTTTACATAGTACATCATTCCATAAAAACATTAGTTTTGTTCTCCAGGATAAGATTGAAACTGACAACTGAATGCCCTGGAGACTTATTAACCTATTACTTTACCATGGAAATCCTGAAGCAGAGAAGTCAAAGGGGTGTAATAATAAAGGTATATACAAGGTTGGACTTGTGCTAAAGAAATAATCACAAAAGATAACATCCACTTAGCTCACGGATATAATCAAGGAAGGATTACAAAATATTACTATCTTTGCAGCATACAAGAGGTGCACTGTTATAATACTCAGAGATTATCTTGGGCTTGGGTTTTTTTATGCCTCATGTTATAACCATATTCTACTTTCTTAAGGCAAGGATTATTATTAACTCCATGCTTTGGTAAGTATTTGCCACAAGAAGCTTTATAAAATAATTCTGAAGAAAAATATAATTAACATTATTGTGAGATATAAACTCACCTGGTTCTTCATTTGAAGTGGTGAAAATACTATTGTAAGATCTTCGAACACGTAAGGTTATACAACCATTTTCATGTAGGCAAAATAAACCATCACGCTGAAAGCAGGGTATTACCTTTAAATAGATGATGTATTTGTTTTTAAAAACAATAGATTTTAAAAGTATATACGGTGAGATTCATAAACTCATATCTAGAGAATATGGGCGGAAAAACCCCCAAAACACAAAAATACACATATAATCCCCTAGTTTTAAAACTAAATGAACATTTAAAATATCCATCAATAATCCTAAAACAATCTGTCTTTATCCATGTAACTTAAATAGTTCAGTACATATCTCCAGATCAGTCAGAAGAATTTCTAGGGTTAAATCAAACCAATCTAAAGTGCAGAAAAATAAGAAATGTAAAATAACATTGTTAATCTTTAAATAAACAGAAAAAAGAGAAAGTGAGACCAAGGACTTTTGCAAAATTATGGTTTTTCTCTATATAATTCATAAACAACTTTTGGTAATATAATTTATAAGTTGTAGGTACCTGCAGAAATGGAACTCCTGTTCGTTCTATTGCAATCACACCCACTGTCTGATTCACCTCAAGGTCAAGGATTAAAATCTCTCGAGGATAGAGTAGCAACATGTGATTCCTTTTGGAAGGCAGGTATGCCAACTGAAGGCAATCATTGAGGGTTATGAATTCAGCACTGAAAAAAGTAAACATTTACTTCAGGCACCAAGAAATGAGTCAGACTCACAAATGAATTTATTCATGAAACAGAAACAGACTGAGAGAAGCAGAAAACAAACTTATGGTTACCAAAGGGGGAAGGAGGCAGGGGAGGGGTAAATTAAGCGTTTGGGATTAGCAGACACAAACTACTATATATAAAACAGACAAACAACAAGGTCCTACTGTGTAGCACAGGGAACTAGATTCAATATCCTGTAATAAACTATAATGGAAAAGAATCTGAAAAAGAACATGTAATATAATACATATAACTGAATCACTTTGCTGTACACCAGAAACTAACACAGCATTGTAAATTAACCATAATTCAATTTTAAAAAATGAGTCAGACCTTATTCATGTCAGAAAAAGCTAAAAAAGGACTGAATTTTGTACTTTCCACATAATAACTGTCAATGAGAATGTACAACTGTTTCCTGAAATGACCAACATGGGCTAGCATCTAAAAATTAGATCTCTTCTTTGTGCCAAAATCCAAATTACGACAATGATACTGTATAGGTCGGACAGAGACATGTTTCTGAATATGTGAAAATGTAAAGTAGTAAGTCTGTGGTATGAGATGGTCAGTGACAATACTATATGGCATTCTTAAGACAGTAGTTTTATTTTTATTTTGTAATTAGAAGTACTAGACAGACTGCTGAAATGAAGCCTCAAGACTAAAACATAAAGCACGTAGGGCAGTCAGGGCTAGGCAACTGGATCAGGAGTCACTGCACTATCTGCACGGCTTGGGCGAGGAAGGCACTTCCTCTACTCCGCCTTCATTCTCTTTTCAGCTGTCTTAAAGCTTTCTTGAAACAAAGCTTGGTACTTTATTCACTTACCACAGCATTTTCTTCTGTGTAAATAAAAGAGATGAAATGATATGAGGATTATAAAGACTGTTAGAGAGACTCAAAACTCATTTTAGTAAGTTGTGATTGTGGTATATATTTAATCACAACTTTATTTTATAATAAATTTATATTTAATATATTTTAGTAGGAATGGGCATACAATTACGTACCTTTTTTCTTACACAACAATTTTATTAAAAGGTTTTGAAACTTAAAATAAACTTAGATTAGAAGACTAGAGACAGGGATGTGGATTGCATTAAAATCCTGGCTCAAAAAATAAAAAAAATTAAAAAAATTAAAAAAAAAAAATCCTGGCTCTGCACTTCCTAGCTGGGTGAGCTTAAGTAGCATATTTAAAACAATATGAGACTCAGCTTCCTCATTTATAATGTGGGCACAGTACTACTGCCCAGGATTGTAGCAAGATTATATGTAATAATGTATGTGAAAGTACCCAGAGTAGTTCTATTTGAAGGGATAAATAATGCATTTCCCCAGTACTCAAGATGAACATATGATTCACATGACAGAAAATATAATGTATATAAATCATAACTTATAAAACTATGCAGGCAAAAAATAATTATTTATGATACAGAATCAATGCAAAGTAAATAAAAAGTTCTCAAGATATTTAAGGAGTAATCTTAAATTATTTCAGCACAGGGTGAGGGATAAATTAGTGAATTTAATCAGCCTATGGTTTACTATATAAAAATGATATTTACATATAAATTCAGAATGTATTTGTAGAGCAATTTGTATTTTACATTTTTTAGGTAATTACCAACAAAGTCTAGATAGAATAATCTTAGCATATTAAAAATAAAAGCTTTTAAAAAATGAATGCCAGGGCTTCCCTGGTGGCGCAGTGGTTGAGAGTCCACCTGCCGATGCAGGGGACACAGGTTCGTGCCCTGGTCCGGGAAGATCCCACATGCCGCGGAGCGGCTGGGCCCGTGAGCCATGGCCGCTGAGCCTGCGCGTCCGGAGCCTGTGCTCCGCAACGGGAGAGGCCACAGCAGTGAGAGGCCCATGTACCTCGGGGGGAAAAAAAAAAAAAAGAATGCCAAAAAAACTACCAAAGCAATAAAAATATAAGAACTACCATATCACTAGGAAAAAGACAGAAATCTATTTTTAATGCATAAAATTGGTTCTTTGAAATAAAATTGTACTCAGTTGAAATTTCTGAAATAAACAATAATAGCTAGCCTTTACCAAAAGAATGCTTATTGAGTATCAGACACTATGTTCAGTACTTAAGCTATTGCACCTATTAATCCTTACAACCCTAAGAAATCCTTTCAAACACTATCTTAGAGATTGGGAGAGTGAAATTTGAGCAAGATTAAATTATACTTTGAGTCACAGAGCTACAGCTTCCCTTAGAATCTTGGCCCTTAACCAGTATGGGAAACATCTTTACATGCATGAGAAAAACACCTATATTTTATTGGCTAATGAGATTACACAGCATTTAAGTCAGGAAAATGTATTTAAAATGAAAATCCAGCTTTTGTCCCCCAATTTTTAATGTGTTCAGTGGCCAGAATTTTAGAATCTTTATCTCTTATTTTCAGAAGTCAAAACTTTTCATGTGTCAAAATCAAAGGGGGATGTTTACCACATTACTGGAAACAAAGGAGCCACGTTAATGCTAAATCTCTTCTTAGGGGAAGAAACAAAAAACATTTTTCCTCTTATAAATTCAAAATTACAAACAAGAAAGGGTAACATGAAGAAGAAAATTAATCCTAGTACATCCTCCAAAAATGATGTTTTCATGAACAGCTGATAACTACATAAATGGTGAATAAATAAATGAATGTTGCTGTTAGTTTTACACTTGTAACTTACCTAGGTTTCTCTTGAGTGATTAAGATTTTCACTTTATTAAGAGCCTTCTTGGCCCCTGTGGCTGCAGCCAGCTTGCTGTGAGCTGGGCTGGAGTGTGGGCTGGATATGTACACTTTTTTCCCAGGGCCTGAGGGTGGCTTGGATGGAGAGAAGTCTGAGATGAATACAATGCCCTCACTGGTGAGTACTGTATTGAGAGAAGCAAAACTCTAATTAAAGTTTAATCAAGTATAGCATAGAGTTTTATTCCAATACAATTTTGAGAGCAAGGTAATGATAATTTTAATAATATAGAACTGGCAGTGTTATGCAGTCATAACGTTAACGGGAATGTTCTCCAAGTTAAAGTGAAACTGGTGGTCCATTACAATTCATCAGGGGCCTCCAAGCTCAGCATTCCAAATTAATGTTTTATATTAAAAAGATACCAGAAGGTTACTGGCAGAAAGAACAAATGTTTGTTCTTCCAAATATATTCAGTGCATGGACTTTCATTAAAGACCTTTCCTCATTATATCCCATAACTTCAAAATCCAAAGACTTTCAGAATATAAAATTAACAGAAGAAATAAAAAATCCCATATGTAAGAGGCTCTGCATACCACACTTGGTAAGTTCAAATATCTGACTTGATGATACTAATTTTTCATCATTATCATGAGCTACTCAGTCTAAATATATTTCCTTTTTCTTCTTGCGTATCAAATTGAACCTCGGGATGTGTAAAGAGTGTTTTTTTTCTCTTTACATCTAGAGTAAAAGTAAAGTGCCAACAGCAGTTTACTAAGTGTACAGGAAACGGAAATATTCAAGGAGGCAGCACCACATTTAACAATACAAATTATGCCTTTTTATGAATGAAAAAATAATCCCCCTCAAAACGGGCTGACTAATACTAATACATATCTGATTATAAAAGTCGTATCTATCCTGGCAATCAGCAAGGCTGCTTTAAACACAGGGAACAAAGCAGCATTCAAGAATCATGACAACCCCAGCACATTCAATGAGCAAATTAAAGATGTTAGGTCAACTGATGCTTTGAAATATATAGTACTTTCATCAACCAAATTACAGAGATGCAGTATATTAGCCTGAAGCCTTGTCTCCTTTCAGATTATAGAAGTCACCCTTCAAGGTCCCAGTCATTCCCCTTCTTTTGTGATGCCCTCACTCCCTGACGCTGCCAGCTAGGCCAGCCCTCCTCTGTGCTCCCACAGCACTGCATTTCACAGCAAACTAGTGAGTGAATGAGTGAGTGTACACATACGTTCATATACACACATTTATACATACGAAGCCTAAACACATTGTATTGCAATTATTTATGCAGCTGTGTTTCCCATTTTAATTTCTACTTGTCTGTCCTACTCTCCCTCCATCAACTCACACATACACCTACTCTCCCTCCATGAACTCACACTCCTCAATAAATGTTGGTGGATACATGTTAGAATTTTGAGTCATTCAAATCCACGGAAAATATTCTTTACCACAGTTAATCCCCTTACCTCTTTCAAGTCGTTGATCAATTATCAAAATGAAGCCTACTTTGACCACTTTATCTAATAAAACAACTTGCCCACTCCCATTCCCCCACTCCCTTTACCTTGTTTTACTTTTTTATACCACTTATAACCTCTTAATATATTATAATTTATTAATTCATTATGTTCATAGTTTACAATCTGACTCTCCCTCACTAGAATGCAAACTTTATGAAGGAAGGAATTCTTGCCTTGGTTCACTGACATATTCCAGGTTCCCAGAACACTCCTGGCATATAACAATAGCTCAAGAAATATCTGTTGGATAACTGAATAAAAAATATTTTCTACATAATTTAGTCACAAAAATATCTGTCTAGAATCTGATTTTTAGATCAGTAGCTCAGTAAAATATCAAAAGCACATTGGGAAAAACAGCCTCCACGAGAAAAAAAATCCCTTGGGCTTGGTCTTTTCCTGACATGCATCTGTTTATGGCACTCAAAATATATGGCATGAATTAAAACAATTTTTTAAAAAGGAAGAAATGAATTTGACCACAGACTAAATGAAACCCTTGACTCAGGTTCTTTCGATGTTCCTAGAAAAAAATTTAATTAAGTCTGAATTAGAGTAACACAGCTACTCTCTTTCTCTGACTAATCTAATTCTGTTCACAAATTCCACACAGTGAAGGTCTGGCTTGCTGATTTAAATTTCTAACCATCACAGTATCTCTAATAAGAGCTGAAAATATATGAACTAGATGTGTTTCTCATTTTAACATTCTAGGTGTATGAAGGGTGTGTGTGTGTGTGTGTGTGTGTGTGTGTGTGTGTGTGTGTGTGTGTGTGTGTGTGTGTGTGTGTGTGTAGCATTAACCATATATGTTACAAACACCTCAACTCATTTTCCACAAGAAACTAGTACTCACAAGTTAAATGTGAGGGATCAAAAGGATCAAAAGAAAAAGAAAGAATGTTATCTGCATAGCTCTTCTTCCAGAGTTTGGTGCCAGTATCTGCATTCCAGAGCACAATATAATTTGGTGGATGGATAGCAAGCAATAAATCTCGGGAAGCATCTTGATTCCATAACCACTGAACATCTGTAAAGACCAGAAAAATAAAGGCAAAATTCAGAAATCACCCACTTCAAATTACTTGTCTAATGTGTCCTTGATATCTAGTTGTGTGTGTGTGTATGTGTGTGTGTTAACATAATCCTTAAAATCTTAACTACCCCCCCTTCAATGTTGCATATATGTGTCAGGATTGATAGGAAAAGCTAATTTTATATAAAAATGAGCTGTCTGGACATTAGAATCTAGAGGTCAAAATTTCCAAGTAATCTGAAATATTACTTCAAAGAAAATACAAAGCAATTTACACTATTCATTATTTAAAACTTTATGTCAAAGACTGTCCTAGCCATGATCAATGTCAGACTCTCCTAATGTTTTTGTGGAATTACTTAATGGGACTTTACAGAATTTCATGTTTTTCCATAACAATAAAGAGGATAAGGATCTAGTTCAATAGTACAGTAAGTACTTGATAAGTATTTTTTAAATAGTCATTTAAAAGATTCATTCAGTCAAGAGAGCCACTCAGTCAAAGCCTGAAGAGCCCAGGAATACTGTATTGATTATAGGTCAGTAACATAAGCAAGCAAACAAATGATCTATATGAAAATGAGAAAAAAATGTTATCTCTATTAAGAGAAAGTAAGCACTGAGGGCTAATTCAAAAGAGCAGTTCGGGCAAGCTTACTTATATTATAGCTTACATTTACAAGACTGTTTACAGCAGCTTAATTTTTCTCATCATGCTCAACTGAGGGCAAGACTGAAATTAATGCATTTTACCAAAGCACAAATCAACTGAGATTTGAGGAAATAAGCCCAGAAGCATATTGATAAGGAAAAGAAAGCTAGATTCGGATCAGCAGAACAGGCTAAACACAATCAAGAGTTAACTGAGAAGTGATGAAATTTAAACGAAAGGGAAAAACCAACCACTCTAAGAGTAAGTGTATTAATACAGACGCTTGGCGGAGTACAGACTTTCCTCACCCTGAATAGGCTTGGCATGCTCTTGGATCTCACACTGAGCTACTCCTGCTGCTACATCCCAAACGATGATCTTTCCATTGACATCAGCAGAAGCTAAGCGCAAGGAATATGGCGAGCCAATATTATGGTGATAATTTTCCCTGGCCCATTTAACCTAGTATCAAGAAGAAATCAAATCAAGTAAATACTTGCACTGGATGAAACTATACATAATTTTCATAAAATGCCAACTGGAACCCAAACTACATTCTACACTAATATTATAAAAATAGGAAACTAGGCAACCCTCCTACACTGTTGGTGGGAATATAAATTGGTACAGCCACTATGGAGAACAGTATGGAGGTTTAAAAAACTAAAAATAGAACTACCGTATGATCCAGCAATCCCACTCCTGGGCATACACCCAGAGAAAACCATAATTCAAAAAGATACATGCACCCCAATGTTCATTGCAGCACTATTTACAATACGCAGGACATGAAAGCAAACTAAATGTCCCTCAATGGAGAAATGGATAAAAATGTGGTACATACATACAATGGAATATTAGTCATCCATAAAAAAGAACAAAATAATGCCATTTATAGCAACATGAATGGACCCAGACATTATCATACTGAGTGAAGTAAGTCAGGTACAGAAAGACCAATATCATATGATATTGCTTATATGCGGAATCTTTAAAAAAGGGTACAAATGAGCTTATTTACAAAACAGAAGTAGAGTCGCGAATATAGTAAACAAACTTATGATTACCAAGGGATGAGGGCAGGGGGAGGGATAAATTGGGAGATTGGGATTGACATTTACACACTACCATATATAAAATAGATAACTAATAAGAACCTGCTGCGCAGCACAGGGAACTCTACTTAATACTCTGTAATGGGCTATATGGGAAAAGAACCTAAAAAAAAAAAGTGGATATGTGTGTATGTATAACTGATTCATTTTGCTGTATAGCAGAAACTAACACAACATTGTAAATCAACTATACTCCAATAAAAATTTTTAAAAAAGGAAACTAGCTCCCATCTTGCAAGTCAGACATTTTTATTATTTGATATTTTTAAAAAGTTGCAATTAAAATATTTTTGAAAACATCACAATGTTTCTGCCTTTAAAATATGAAAAATTATGCACAACCTTAATAATATGGGGAATTCAGGTAAAAAAACTCCAGAATACCATATCTTAAAATGGTATGATCATTGGTATATCATTTGATCATAGTAATAACCATAAAACCTAATTCTGACATAACATGTAAAATCCTAAATTGCTAAGCAGAATCTTTTCCTGCATTCTATTCTTCTAATTAAAAGGAGACAACTTATAGCTACAAAAACCTTGCAAAGGAAAAAACAAAAGCAAACAAAAACTCTGGCTATCCCTCTCATAAAACTGGAAAATAACGTTAACAGTTTTTTCTCTAAAAAACGAATTTGTGCATCACAGTTTTAGTAATATCATTAAGAATAGTTTTTTTAAAAAATAAAAAACACAAGAATCCCGGCACAAAATCAAGAAATTAACTGAGCATCGAATACTGGCAAAGTAAGGAATAAAACAGAGTCCTTACTCTGAGCCAAGGCCTTCCCTAGACACAACCTCCCCTCCCCTCTAGCTCAGCATCCTACTTGCTTACTTCAGAACATTTCCCACACAATACTTTGTAATTATTCTGTTTACTTTCTTTTGACCTATCACCAACCCTATCACCAATCCCACTCCATAGGGCAGGATCACCAAGGCCTCGCTCACATTTCTATCCCCCAGCCTTAACACAGTGCCTGCAGCTGACGTTCGAGTATGTGTTCAATAAACGAACTTAACACCACAGACTCTTCAAATATATACCTATGTAGACATATGTACACAGACACACAGATGTGTGTATTTATAAGTAAGCACTCATAGAAAATGCTAGGTTAGGGAAGCAGGCTAACCAATTCCAACAGCCTTCATGAAAAAGATGGAAACAAAAAGTTTTCTGAACTCCAGTGTTAAATAAGCCTTAGGTTTCTACTCCAACACATCTTTTCCTCAGGCAAGAATTTTTTTAATAAAATGTGTGCGTAGGCATATATATATGCATATATGTTTGAATGTGTATACACGTATATTCACATGTATGAATGTATGTATACTCTCCCTCCTCATTATTTGCAGATTCTTTATTTGTGAATTTGCTTACTCGCTAAAATGTATTTGTGATTTTATTTGCGAAATCAGTATTCGCAGTGCTTTTGCAGTCATTCATGGACATGTGCAGGGTAGTGAAAAATCTGAGTCACTCAACATGCAACCGCATCCCAGCTGTGGTTGAATGAGGCACTCTTGTTCCAGTTCTCATAATGTAAACAAATGTCTTTTCTGAGGTCTATTAAGTACCATGATTTTTGCATTTTTGTGCTTCTTGTTGACGATTTCACTGTTTAAAATGGTCCTCAAGCACAGCAGTGAAGTGCTCTCTAGTGCTCCTAAGCACAAGAAGTTGTGACATGCCTTACTGAAAAAAGACACGTGAAATAACCTTTGTCCAGGCATGAATTATAGTGCTATCAGTCATGAGCTCAATGATAATAAATCAACAATATATAATAAATGTCTTTTAACAGAAACACATGAAAAACAAGGTTATGTATCAATCAGTTGATGAAAATATTGTGACTAAAGGCTCACTCGGAACCACACCGTGTATTTCCCCAAGGAGCCATCAATGTTTCAGTATATGTTAAGTCAGTGTTTGCAACAACTTTACAGAATAAAACTACCATGGATAAGAATTATTGTTGTGTGTGTCTGTGTGTGAGTGTGTAGTACCTGAATTCCATCTTTGTTAATGTCAAGCAGTGTACATATTAAAAAAAAAAAATCAGACCTACTAGAGAATGGATCTGAGGACACGGGGAGGGGGAAGGGTAAGCTGGCACAAAGTGAGAGAGTGGTAGTGTATATATGGACATATATACACTACCAAATGTAAAATAGATACCTAGCGAGAAGCAGCCACATAGCACAGGAGGATCAGCTCGGTGCTTTGTGACCACCTAGAGGGGTGGGATAGGGAGGGTGGGAGGGAGGGAGATGCAAGAGGGAAGAGATATGGGGATATATGTATATGTATAACTGATTCACTTTGTTATAAAGCAGAAACCAACACACCATTGTAAAGCAATTATACTCCAACAAAAATGTTAAAAAAAATCACCTAAACACAGCATAATCAAACTGCTGAAAATCAAGATAAGGAGATGAGATGAGAAAAGATACAATGCATACAGAGAAACAAAGACAAAAATTTCTCATTAAAAATTACCCAAGCTGGGAGATAGTCGAGTGATAGCTTTAAAGCACTACAAGAAAAAAAAGAAAAAGAAAAAAAAAAAACTGGTGAAATAATTTCTCAGCCAAATAAAAGCTGAAAGGATCAACCAATATCAGATACGTGCCTCAAGGACTTAAAAGTAAATTCTTCAGGCAAAAGGAATATGACGCCAGACTGAAACACAGATCTATACTAAGAAATGAAAACTCCAGAAATGCCAAAAAGACAGAAATGGGGGGGGGGGGGGGGGGGGGAGAATATATTTTTTCTCAAAAAAAAAAAACCCAAAAAACAAAACAAAAAAACCCCCTATACCTAACATCAGAATTGAATGAATGCTTTCCTCCTAGGCTCAGGAATAAGACAAGAGTATCCTCCCTCCACTTCTATTCATTGTAGTAGAGGTCCTAGTCAACACAATAGCACAAAGGAAAAGAAATAAAAGACACCAGATTATCAGTGAAAAACCCAAACTGTCATTATCTGAAGATAACATGATTGTCTATGTAAAACAACAACAAAAAAATCACCCAAATTACAATATCTAACAAGTTTAGCAAGATCACAAGATACATGTTAGTATTTAAAAAAAAAAAATCACCTGGGGCTTCCCTGGTGGCGCAGTGGTTGAGAGTCTGCCTGCCGATGCAGGGGACACGGGTTCGTGCCCCGGTCCAGGAAGATTCCCACATGCTGCGGAGCTGCTGGGCTCCTTCGCCATGGCCTCTGAGCCTGCGCGTCTGGAGCCTGTGCTCCGTCCGCAACGGGAGAGGCCACAACAGTGAGAAGCCCGCGTACCGCAAAAAAAATCACCTGTATTTTCCTCTACTTCACATTACATACAAAAATTAACTCAAAATGGATCTGAAATTTAAATATAAGAGCTAAAACCATACATTCTTAGATGGAAACAAAGGTGTACATCTTATTGACATTGGGAAGAGCAATGGTTCTTGGATACAGCAACAAAAGAAAAACATTATACCTACATCAAAATTTAAAACTTTTGTGCTTCATAGGGCACTATCAAAAAAGTGAAAGATGACTCACAGAATGAGGGAAGAAATTTGCCAACCATATATCTGATAAGGGACTTGTATCTAGAATACATAAAGAACTCTTACAACTCCAAAATTTTTAAAAATACAATTTTAAAATGGGCAAAGGAATGAACAGACACTTCTCAAAGAAGATATACAAATGGCCAAAAAACACATGGAAAGATGCTAAACATCATTAGCCATCAGGGAAATGCAAACCAAAACCAAAATGAGAACCACTTCATATCTGCTAGGATGGCTATAATCAAAAGGACATATAATAACAAGTGTTGTTCAGGATGAGGAGAAATTGGAGCCCTCGTACGCTGCTATAGGAATGTAAAATAGTGCAGCCTCTTTGGAAAATGGTCTGGCAGTTCCTCAAAAAGTTAAACATAGAGTTACCATGAGTCAGCAATTCTAATCCTAGGCATATACCCAAGAGAAATGAAAACATAGGTTCACACAAACAGACTGTGCACAAATGTTCACAGCCATATTATTCATAATACCTAAAAAGTGGGAAATACCCAAATGTCCATCAATAAATAAATGTTGTATATCATACAGTGGAATATTATTCAGCAATAAAAAGGAACAGTACTGACATATGCTACGGCATGGATGAACCTTGAAAACATTATTCTAGGTGAGAGAAGCTAGGCACATATTGTATCGTCTCATTTATTTGAAATGTCTAGAACAGACAAATCTACAGGACAGAAAGTAGATTAGTGGCTGCCTAGGGATGAAGGGGACAGGGAAAAGGCATGGATAGCAACTGCTAATGGGTACAGGGTTTCTTTTGGGGGTTATGAAACTGACTGTGGTGACAGCTACACAACTCTATGGATATACTGAAAGCCAGGGAATTGTATGCTTTAAATGGGTGAATTTAAATGGTATGAATATCTCAGTAAACCTGTTAACAATGAAAAAGACCCCAAATCTCTATCTCCAATTGTAACATCTCCCCTAAAATTTCAGATCAGTATAATTCAATTGCCCCAGGTGTCTCAGACTTTGCACGTTAGACACTTAAACTCACCGACTTCTCACACACCTCATCAAAGCAACACTGCCATTCAACTACTCAAACAGAAACCTTGGAGTCATTCTATTCTGACTCTCCCTTAAGATTGTTTACTATAAAGGCTATCAAGTTTACCTCTTAGCTCCTAAATGGAACTCCTTCACACCTCTGCTTTATTTTAGGCCCTAAGAATTTCCTGCCCAAATTACTGCAGTTCTCCTAAATGATCCCACTGCCTTGTCTTCCCTTTTTCCAACAGATCCTCCACTGCTGCCAGAATGAGTTTTTCTAAAATGCAAATATGATCATATCAATCTCCTACTTAAAAATCCAGATTCCTTCATAATCTTACAAACCTTTTGGGGCAGGTGAATTTCTCCAGCTGCCTTCTTTCATCACTCCTACATGTGTATCCCATCTTTTAGCCATCCTTACACATATTACTTCCCTTTGTGTATATCCTCCCTTTTTCCTGCAGTGCACCTCTCCCAATTTTCACTTGGCCAACTACTGTTTACAGTCCCTAAAATGAAAAGACTTCTGAGACCCTCCTCTGATCCCTAAAACGAGGTGACCTGTAGCTCCTTTGTCTTTCCACAGCATATTAGGCAGGTCTCACTTACCACACTGTATTTGTATGTTTTCTTTTCATTCTTCCTCACTAGCCAATGAATTGCTTGAGGGCTTTCATCTCTACATCCTTAGCACATGTTGGGTGCTCAAAATTCATGAGTGGTCCAGGACATGACAGAATTAAGTGTTTTCCACCAGCTTTGAAATGACCTAAGAACTAGCATTTTAGCTCATCTGAGCCATACTAGCTCATCCTGATGTGACATTATATATGGAAATACTAGGCTACCCCAAACAGACTGTCATACTTAAAACCTATTCAACATGTGTACATATGACTTACTGAGATTCTAGCGATATTTAAAACTTTAGAATAGACAATATATTATAGGGTCAAAGTGGGATCTGACTTACCTTGACAACATCAGCTTTATGTTTTTCTAAAACTTGAAGCGTTTGAGCAGTACTGGAATCAATCACTACCACCAGCGAATGACATCCATATGCAATTAAACCTTGCCAGCCCCTAACAAAAAGTGTTAAAATTTAAGTAAAAAGCAAAGCAAAGCAACTTCTCTCTTGCCAAGAGGCAGCCTAAATAAGTGAGAAATCTAACATGCACCACCATTAATAAAATTATTTAAGCCCAAGGCTAGTATTTTACATTATACCATTTAAATAAAATTTTTAAAAAGCTTGTTTAGTTTTTCTTTCAGATAAAAGAAGGTTCTGAGAGACATGCACGTAGAGCCGTGAAGACGTATAAAGCAACTCCTGTCGTCTATTTGTCTTTGAGGGCATATACCTTGTCTTATTCAACTTTTAATACTGAGCATCCACAAAGTGCGTGGGATCATGCTCCCCGGTATCTGTGATTAGCCCCGGTCCTTCCCACCAGATAAAAAGACAAACAGTGAACAGGAGGTTTCGGTACTCTTGCCAACATTCCCAGTAGCCAGAGCTACCGCAGTTTGCTTTATATTTGTCTAGTTGTTAATTCGCAGTGTCATTTTACAGTAAACCGATAAAGGTGAAATGAAGTGCCGGCGAGAGCACCGGAGCCTGGCACAGGGTCCGGCACACTGTTGAATGAATAAAGGTAAGAAACAGGGATGGAAGAGAAAGAAGACAAGAATGGGGACGAGAACGTGGTCGGGGTAATTGACATTGGGGAGAGGAGGCTGGAGACTGGAGAGAGGTTCAGAGACGGGGCTGGGAAGGTGAGGAAGGTGTGGGGGAAAAAAGCAAAGAGAAACAGATGGTAGAACGAGGGCGAATATATCCACACAGGGAAAGTTCCCACGTGGGGCATTTACAGCTCTTATAGTAACAACAAAAATCCAGCATTTAAATGAAAAACTCCAAGTGTGAGGGCGGCACCCAGTCTTTGCGAGGCCAAACTAAGCGCGGGGGGGGGGGGGC